ATTATTCACAGTGGCCAGGACATGGAAGCAACCGAAGTGTCCTATGATAGATGATTGGCTAAAGAAGCTGTGGGACATATCTACAATGGAATATTACTCAGTCATAAGTAAAGATGAAATACTACCATTTGCAACAACATGGACCTCGAGATAATCATGCTAAGTGAAATAAGCCAGACATAAAAAGTTGAAAATCTCATAACACTTTTATGTGGGATATAAACCTAAAAGCAACAAAGGAACAGGACAAAGACTCATTGGCATGGACTATAGAGTAGTGATTACCAGAGGGTAGGAGGTGGGGGAGGAGAGCGGAGGTAGACAGTGTAAAGGGGGTCAAATATAGGAGGTTAGGGGGAGGGTGAAGTGGGTAACGCAGATCAAATATATGGTAGCTGAGGGAAACTGGACTTTGGGTTGTAAACACACAATAGAATATACAGATGTCAAATGATAATGTACACTTGAAAATTATATAATTGTATTAACCAATGTTATATCAATAAACTTAATTTAAAAATAAATAAAAAATAAAATTAGAAAACAAAAAAGTAGCTCTTTGCTTATCACTTCTGTCCTTTCCTCTGTAGAAGACAAACAAAAACGCCCACTTTAAGAGGCTGAGCCTCTTGGCATAAGAAAGATTGAGTGCTATCCTAGGGGTAATCCCACAAGCTAGTTGACACCTAAACAGGCTGGTTAACAAAGTCACAGAAAATTTACATCTTTTTCCTGCAGCATCAAAGCTCTTCCAAGGAAATTATTGATCTGGCCATAGAGGATAAAATTAGCAACCCAGTAACTTTACCTCTCCCCAAGAGCACTAACTTCAACACAGGCTGTAATTCTCAATTACTGCAACTATAAATAGTAAACAATGAGGAAAAAGGAAACACTATTGAACAAAATCTTAAAAAACATTCCCTTTCTTATTCAAATTCTTTTCCACATGTTGGTTTCCAAGGTTCCTTCCTTTTGCTGATAAATGGTATCGTTATACTTGTCAGGAAAATAAAAAACAAGGATGTATTTCTCCCTGAAGGGCAATATTTAACTAGTAGTTGACAAAGATTTGTGAATATAAGAGATAATCAGATGACAGATTTCCTTTTGGCTCACTTACCCAACTTCTACATATGTGTCCTTGTCTCAAAGTGGGCTGACAAAGATACCCACTAGAGTTCTAGGAAGACAAATCCTAGAATATGTGTAAACAACTAAACATTCTCATCTCTTTCATTTTTATGTTTATGACTTAAAATGTATGTAATATATTCATGTGGTAGAAAATTTTTCTAATTGCATTTAATCTGAACATTAATTCACAGGCTACAGGATCAGAGAAATGAGATGGATTAAAAAGCCTCTATGGATTGGTTTCTAAGATTCACGACTGGAGCATCTATCCAGTAGAGATCAGACACCTCCTGCTCCACTCAGTTATCTCAAAAGCACATCAATTGCAAGGTGTCTGCAACCAAGCCCATATGTTCCTTCTCCACGCTCATCCTCAGCCAGGGTTCCCCTCACTCACCGAGTGGCATTAGTTGTATAAGACAAATATTGGTGTCATCTTTAACTCAACCCTTTCCTCATTCACACAATACATTCCAATCCATTATTAAGCCATGTCAATTTGATCTACCTTATCCCTCCAGGATCGCTGCTGCCACTCATGTACCCACTCACCTCCTATCAAGGTCTAACCCCACATATCCATAACTGGCCTCTAGAGTCTGATCTTCATCTAATGCTGGTTATCTATCTTCCACTAAAATTTACAAATAGTATGACATAGTTAAAAAATATCAAAGAAAAAATGTAAATGTGTACACTATAAAGCATAAAATGAATATTCATGCACCTACCACCTGTTAAAAAAACATCAATTTTTTTATGCAAATATAACTCCCCTGCAGAAGTCCACATAATTCGGCCATAAAGGTTTTTGGATTCTTAATTCCTGGCTGCCGCTTACTTCTGGATCTTTGCTGTTATTTGTGTTTAGAATATGCTCTCCTGCCTTCGTTTTCTGTCCTTTTATCCTGTCTTATGCAACCTTCCTCAGAATACCCAGGATTTCCCTTCATAAATACTGACATTTGGAATGACATTTATGACTGTGACAAGTCTAAAAGCTTTATGTGGGCACAGATTGTATCTTTTTGGCTTTTCATTGCAGCAATTGTACCCACACAATACCCTGGCACGTTTGTTAGATGACAAAAAAAAAAAAAAAAAAGGTGAATCATCTGAGTTATAGATGGAGGGCTGGGGAAGGAAAAAGCCTTAGAATTCCCTAGGTAGTACAGTCTTTGCATATGAAAATTATTTTTCTCCATCAGTGAATCCTACCTTTAATGAACTCTAGCCTATGAGTTATATGTTTTATATAAGGATTGCCTAATTTAATTGCTTAATTAAGCCTTAGATATGCTTCATTAACATACCAATGTTCTACCAGTGGGCCTCTCCATACTAATTTTCACTCACTTAGCTATGGCCCACACACAATAGTCTATAGGACTAGTATTTTAGAAGTTCACATATTTACACTGATCTTGCTCAACTAAGAATTTGTCCTAGGAACCAAAAATTAAGAGCGCAATAAATCATCCATTGTTACTACATAGCTCAAAAAATTTTAACTGAAAACAGATTTGCATTAAGTATATATATTTGAAATAAATGTTCTATAGTTGTACATGTGAATGTAAAATATTAAATTCACAAGTACCCTTTGCCATGAATCAGCTGTGAGTCATGTCATTTAACCATGTATATTTACATCTTAAGTATTTTAAGAAAACAAAAATATGAAGTTTATTATCACAAATTATTTAATAAGAACACATTTTTTCCCCCTGAAAAGTCAGGAAAAACTATTCTTAACATATAAAATGAAGTTATTTCTATGTCTTACAGGTTATACTATATATAGAAAGACTGCATTTATTTGGTCCACAGCTTTGACTAGGATTAAATTCAAGTTCTGCAGTTTCTGGCAATGATTCCTGAAAAACTCCTCTCATCTAGTTTCCTCATCTATGAAAGAGAGGAACATTGCCTAGTTAACAAGATTATCTGATCAAACAAAACAACATATGTGGAAGCACCTGTCAGTCTGTGCTCAATAAAGGTTCAAAAAATTAACAGAAATTTTATAGAACTAGAGGATATACAGGTTACAAAATCCTATAGGTATACTAAGTTATACATAAAGTAAAACACAAACCTCAGAGTATCTATTCTTTTGTTTACATTAAAGTAAACTGTCATAAAATATCGGATTAAACTCTAGAATAAGTCTGTACCTATGGTAGCAATTAAAATAACTGGTTTCAAAGAGAAAGGATGGAGTATTGACCAGAGCTGCATGCTATCTGGCTGTAAATTGTATCACAGGCTCAGACATGTTAACTCCTTCAGTATTAATACATTTTTTAAAACCTCTGAAAGTTCTGCTCACATTATTTTTGGTTTTCTGAGATAAAGCACAAAGAACCCTCTCCTTTCCTTCCTCTTCTTTCCATTTGAAGCTCTGACTCATTCTGCCCACAAGTACTAGGTGTTGTACGACCTACTCTGAGCTGTGTGCTCAGGTCTCCTGTAGTAATGATTTCAACTACCTGATGCAACTTGAGAATGATGGCCTAAAGTTCATTCTAAACACTGTTCCCTTTTGGGATGGTGACTTGGTTAAATGCATCTGTCCTCTTTTCATGCACAAGCATATCTTTAATATATTTCCTTTCAGATAAAATGGGAAAATGATGTGATGAAAACCTGACAGTCACGTCTGTAGACCTCAGCACAGGTATTGTCCATTTTTCAATATATTTTCTTGACAATTAGATACCGGGATAAGACTTGATTTAACATTTATAGATATTTAAGAAAAAAGGAATCAATTTGGAAAACTTTATCAACAAGTTATCAAAACAAAGATTTGTTTTTTGACAGTGAAATGTACATTATATGGTTTGCCATTATTTCCTCTCTAGAAAGGTAAAATGAGTCATTATAAGCTCAGGTATTTTAAACACTTAAGAGACGAGTTAGGAAAGGTGCAACTGAAGAAACCAACTGTAAAAGCCATTTTTATAATAATAGGAGAAATTTGAATATAGACTACATATTAGATGATATTAATTACGGTTTATTTGTAAGGTGTAATGTTGTTTTTTACTTTTTTTGAAAAGGCCTTAACTGTTAGACATAAACCAAAGTATTTTAAGTGAAATGATTTATGTAGAATATACTTTAAAAGATTCCAGCTTAAAAAAAATTGTGTGTATGTATTATGGTGGTGGGGAAGGTAGGGTAAATAGATAAAAAATATGATAACAGACCAGAGTATTCTAATACTGCTGTTGACATATTTAATAAACAAAATAATGAAATTTCATATCTCTATATAAATGGCACCTCAAGTAAAATACTATATTTTTTAAAAAAAGGTTTTAAGTTATGCATTGCTAAAAATACTGTGACTTATAAAATGTTAGAGGGGTATAAGGGTATTAGGTAGGTAGAGGTATAGAAGGGATAGACAGGTATCACAGGAGCCCCTACAACTCAGAAAGGTAGAGGGGAAGGCAACGGAGCTGGGGGCAGTAATCTGTATTAGAATTAATGTATTATGAAAACAGAAGAAAGATAACTTTTGAGTGAAATGCTCTTTCTATGCCAGATTTAAAGTCACCACATATTCCCCTTATACTCTGTTTCTGTGGTATATCACATCACCAAAAAGTCTTGATGGAATTAAATCCTCAATATTCAAAATGCTCATATCCAATGTAGTTCTAATCCTTAAAAAGAAAACATTCTTTATGCTAAATGCATTTTTATGTATTCAAGAACAATAATCTAGACATTTTCAGTAGGATTTAAGTAGGAGTACAAGTGAATTAAACCATTCAGATAAAAATGCAACTAAAGCTGCTCTGATCACTCATGAACATTTATATATATATTATTTAGTGTGACACTTCATCCACATAAAAAAGGCATTCTACTTCTTTATTTTTTTATTTGACAAGCAGCAATATCATGTTTGTCATTTTAATGTAGATACAATTATTAAGGTTATCTGTCATATTACAATATTTAAGTTTTTATTTTATGTCCTTTAAGATACATTAAAAAAAAAACACATCAACTGCAAACGTGAAGGGGAGAAAAAGCATGGTACCCAACCAAATTTCCACATGTCAGCAATACTTCACTCATTCTTTTAATAAAGTTTTAAGAAATGTCATAATGACATGAGCTTGAAATATCTCTAGGCATTTTCTCTGACGCTCATGACGTGGCACTGGTGATGTTGTAAACAGCAGAAAAACAGGGGCTGCCAAATGACCAAATTATGGAGGCACAGGCCTGCTTTTTCCCACAGGAACACGCCAAATGGTGATGGCAATGATCTTCTCACATCACACAGGAGGAGAGCGACATCACGCTACGTAACTGTATTCATCTGCTGATGCTTGGCTGCGTTCAATGTACTGTTTGTCTATCAGCACTTCAATACACTTCTTAATCATGCTGATACTAGGATTAAACCTAGCTCTTGACTGGCTAATCACCTGTGTATAAGAGACATGGATGTCAAACTACTGCTAATCAATTAGTTATAAATAATTACTTTTAACAAATCAGCTATAAAAGTACCCCAAATTTACTGAGATTTCATCAAACATATCTACTCCATATAGGAAAAATATACTCAATAATTATTAAATTATATTAATTTAATCAAATAAAATCTTCTTAAATGGATGAATATGATATATCAAGTAAGTGAGTACCATAACAATATTAAAATTTTTAAACTCAGGGCAGTGCACGAGTAAAGAGAAAGCATTAGGTCGATTTTGGCATGATGACCGAAAAGAATCTTTTATGCAAAGTATAGAAAAAGCCTAATGTTTATGTTGTGAAGGAATTAAAATATAGAACATAGATATAGCAAAATCTAATATTCATACATTACTAAATTAAACTATAAACTAACCTATCCAAATACTCACGCAGCCTCATGCCTCCATATAACCCCTACTCAACTCAGCTCTCAGCTGAGGTGACACTTTCTCAAGAAAGCCTTCTGCAGCATCACAGTGCTTTATGCCTGTTTATAGTGCATGTGACTAATTTAATATTTACTTGCATATTATTTCAATAATGTAGCTATTCTCTATTACACCGTGAACTCCAAAAGGCCAGGACCCCATCTTGCTTTTGCTCTGCATTAAATCCGCAATGATAAGCACAGTACTCTATCATGTGGTAGACGATCATGTACTTAAAGAATACATGAATATTTTAATAACTGGAGAAAAGATTCAATAAATTGGTAAAGTTCAGACTTTTAAACTCAAGCCAAAGCAAATCTGAATTGAATATTAAAATAATTAGTGAGTATTGTTCCCAATAAATAATAAAGCATTTCTTTATGGTATTTAGGAATCATACTATTTCTGTATCGTCTTTACAAAGAAACATTCCTAAACTGTACATTGGTAGTTCCCTGTACCCCAAGAAGTCTTGAGGACTTTTCCCCCTTTTACCTCTTGAATAAGAGCATTATGCCGAAGTACTTTTCGTGCTTTCATGATACGAACTATAGCAGCTTGGAGATACATTTTCCGGTCCTCATCTACAGCACTTCTAGTCTGTTCCATTTCCTGTTTTATGAGGGGTGGGAGAAGGGGGTCGGTTAAAAAGACATTAAATCATAAAATTTGTTCTTAATTCATTTTATCAGTGAGTATAAATAAATTATCAATCAATACTGAGCATCAAATTACAGTTATTATGTGCCCAATATCACATAACAATTACCAAAAGAATATCTACAGTGAGTTGTATATAACTTGCTGGGTTAAAATTGGAAGGTTATTTAAAAAATTAATACTATTGTAAACTGTATTCAGTGAAAATAGGTAATAAAGTAGAACTTAAATGACACGGAACAATAAATTGTCAAGACTGTTGTCATTTCATTGAGTACAGACTCTATATCACAATGCTTTTAGATGCTTTAGTAATTGGCTCCAAGTGCATTATGGATCAGGCTTCAAGGCTTAGAGTTGTGGAGGGTTCTTCTCAGGCAGAGAAGCCAGGAGGGATGGGCTAGAAAGGGCATATCTCCACGGTGCTCAAGGAGACAGCAGAAGCAAGACATGCAAGCAGGTGATAGCATATAATAGGGGTCACATAACAGCTTTTCAAAGATAAAATACAACCCATATATTACAAATTATTATTCATTAGTCTAGAGATAAATAAAATCTCAAACATTTTAGGGTTCATATTAATAGCAATTAATTAACATTCTTCTCCCCATGGGAGATTAAGTTCCTGGAGAGGGCCTGACAGCTTACATACATCCACATCCTGTCCTAAGCCTGGGACAGAGTGGGACATAGGTGGCAATCGGGAAATCTAGTGACATGAACAGGTAGGTTATCCCAGAACAAAGCAATAACCACTGCTAAGTTAAAAGAATCAACAGTACACGTTTACTGTGCAAACTGGCCCATCTGGTAGTCTAGATCCCACTCCATACCTACTAGATCACAATTTGTGTTTGAAAAAGATCCCCAGGTGGTTCATTTACACATGAAAGTCTGAGAAGCATTTTTAAGAATTTTTCTTTGAAAGAAATGTGTTGTAAAACTTTCTCCTATTTTACAAATGAAAAATACAAGAGATTATATTACTATTCAAGGTAGGAATTTTTAGAAAGATGCTAAGCAGAGCAGTACATTTTAATATAGCTTAAGAGCAAGTATGACTGAATTGCAACACCCTTTTTCTTAGATACCCATGATACTACTGTTTTTAAACCTAAAATACCGGCAGAGGTTTTGTTTGTAAGATCAGTAAATGCAAAGAATAAACCGGAAAAGATGCATATTATTAATTTTGATGTACAAAGTTTTGCAACATCTCAATGCTACCACTTGCAAAGTACAATGCTTAAATATTTCCAAAAGAAGTGACATTGAATAGCACTTACCTGTGGTGTGTCTTTCTGCATCGATGTAGTAATTTTAAATTTTGTTCTTTTACTGCTGAAGTTCATATTTAATGAAAATGAAGATTCTGCATCGATATCTTCCTACGATAAAAAATCATCCATTTATATTTACAAAAAAATAAAATTATTACATAAGAATGCATTTGCTGTAACATTCTATGAAATTAAATACTAACCAAGTAAAAAATCCTGAATTCTCATAATCTTTTTCATTATAAAGATTATTTAAGAGAAAAATAATTGTCCTCTGTCAAACAGAAAACGATTCTTTTCTAATTTTATACTTGATAAAATTTTAATCAGTTTAGATTAAATAAATAAGCTATTTTCTGGCCCAACTATTATATATATTACCTTTAGAAAAGACAAAAGAGTCAAGCTCATTGGCCTAACAAAATTTAAGATTTTTGTGAAATACCAATCTCTTCATTTTTCCATCACCCCATTTTGAAAAACTGAATCAAGTATTTTTTTAATGCTGCAATACCAAAATACCAATTATAAATAACATGACTGTAGAAGCAAGCTATTTCCAGTGGCACACAAGCATCATTTCTCCAAGACTCTGGTGTGATTCATGTTTTATTCACTCGGCCAAGAGCAAGTAGCCTTTTCTCAAGTCAAAGTTTTTAAGCCAGTTTTTGGAATCATAAATTCTCTATCAGGCTTAAGAAAGCCACTCATATCATATAGTGGAATTTCTCCATCAGCAGAATCAAGAAGTACTTGGAAGATAGACTCATTCTCAATAACAATCTACAAAGTTCTAAGGAACTGGTAGATTCATAATTAAAATTTAATGTGCAAACAAACAACCTATATTTATTTTGCATATTTCTGGGCAGCAAAAATAAGATGTTTTAGAAAAATATATAACTTCTTAAACACTTTAACTTAAAGGGTAAAGGGGGTCAAATATATGCTGACGAAAGTAGATCTGACTTTGCAATGCAATAAACAGATGATGTAGTACTGAATCTGACAATGCAATAAACAGATGATGTAGTACTGAATTGTACACTTGAACCTATATAATTTTATTAACCAATGTCAATCCAATAAATTTAATTTAAAAAATAAATAATTTTAAGTTTTAAGCTTAAATTTTAAATCATAATTGCCTTGATTAAAATATTAAGAATATTAATATTTTGTTAAGGTTGTAAAGTCAAAAAAATTAATTTCTGAAAATTAAAAAAAGCCTGATTTGAATTTCTGAATATATGCCATTTAGAGCTGTTCAATTACAGGCTACAAAATGTCATAATCTTAGGGATTTTAGCAAACTGAATTGAGAGAAATAAGCTGTAGGCTATTAACTTTATCAAAATAAAAATGAAACATCATTTACAAAAATTTTTTCTTATAGGCACAATAATTTGAAGCAGGAGATTCAACCCACATCTGCTTTAACCATTTAAATATCCAAGATATACTATAACAACAAAAACTTATTACTAGAAAGTTATGAAGAAAAAGAGGAAGATACTATTGGCTTGTGATTCCTGTGACAAATATTAAAAATATATGAGTCCTGAAATTAAGGGACATGAGACTAAGAGCATTTGGGACAAAGTTACACATGTTAAATATGCATACAAACAGACATCGATAGGCTGTCATTTCCTTCTACAGAACCATATCATATAGTTAAATATTAACTAAACACATGAAAAAAAGAAACCAAAAATATTTATGATAGGCTACAGTTTTAAACCTCAATTTATCAGAATATTCCCAATGGCAATTCAGGAAACTGTCATAGTACAGGACGAATAAAAGCAAACTATAAAGGCTATATAGGCACCAACTTACATAGACTTCTCTGTGACTCCTCCTCAAGTTCACAGCTCTAAGGAGCTGGCAGTAAGGAAGCTGATTCAAGTGCTTTCCAAAGTTACAAGGGCATTAACAATTATAATGTCACTTTTAAAACTGAACATCCCACGAAAAAGCTTTAATGTTTACGATGCTTAAGTTCCTTTAAATTCTCATACCTTTTCTGAATCATGGTTAATCATTTTCACATCAAGTAATGATTTGATTGTTTTTGTCAGTTCCTTTTCATTCATCTGAGTGCTGTCTTGAAGCTCTTTATAGCTGACAGTTTCACTGTTGTTAAAGGCTAGAAGAACTGCCATTTGGTATGTTGTAACCATGGCTACATATGGTTTGCCCAAATAGTTCATTTTAACTTCACCTACAATTAAAACAAAATTGTGACAAACTGATCATTCAAAGAAACATTTCAAAACTGCCTGAATAATTGTTTATTTCTGATATTTTCTCCTGAAGTAAAGAATTCTTAAGTTGTTGGAAAACCATAGTTCAAAAACCGCTGGGGAATTTGAGTTTGCATGGGTATAGGGCACGGGGGGTTGAGGAAAGGCTATTAGTTTTGAGTATGTAGTATAAATCACAGGTAAGCTATCAACTCTATCAGTAGGTTTAAACAATGTCTTTAAATAGTCACTGGAAGGCTAAGACTTAGGCAGAAAAAAACTGTAAGACAGGTTACAGTTTTCCATGGGGATCCATGGAAAAATGGACAAAGAGGAGAGGATATTGGCTTGCTACCAGCAACTGCTTCATGTGCTATCTCATTTGGCCTGTCCCAGGTATGGGTCAATCAGCCAGGGAGGTCTATAAACATACAGGAAATGGCTACCCAGCAGTTCAACTCAATTGCAATTTCTGCCAAAATTGTTAAAATAACATTTTCCTTCCCATCAATTTTCTAGGAGCAGACAGGAATGAGAGGAGAGACAAACAGATTCATAATTTTGTTAAAAACAGTAGAATAAAAATGCCCTACACTCTACACTACCCTAAGAGCTATAAAAGATATAGCGAGTAAAGGCAAACTACAGTTCTGCAAAATCTCAGGGAGAGAACACACTGAAAGGCTTATAACAAACTGCATGACAAATCTGTGTGCACTCTGTAACATGTTAAAAAAATTAATGTAAGTCAAAGAACTGCTTCCTAAAGCAGAAAGTTGTGATTCAGTGATTGTATTTCTCCTCACCCCACCCACCTATCCCTCTCTCCCTCCTCCGTCTTTCTGTCCCTCTGTCCTTGTCTCTCTCTGAGTCTGTCTGTCTCTGTCTCTCTCTCTCTTTCTCTCTCACACATACACACACAAAGAACCTGCACTATTTGACTTAATGGATTATAAACTCACTCAGTGAGAGATTTGGTTTTAGAACTCTATATTTAAATTTAAGGAAGCTGAATTTCACATGAACATTTATCCCACAGACTGTATTCTCCCTGTTAGGAGTAATTAGTAACTCTGACCAAGATTTTGTGTTTCTTTATTCAGTAAGTAATTCAAGATTTTAACACAATGCAATATAAGATATATATATGCCTTACTGTTAAATTGTACATCTGAAACTTACTGGATTTCGTTAACCAATGTCACCTAAATAAATATTTTAAAGAATATAATTCTATTCTCCAATTTATTATCACCACACAGATACCTATTTCAACTTTCATTATACCCTGACTTAGTTCAGAAAAACTGATATTCAGATATATTTTTCAAAATTATTTGGAAACATTAAGAGAAAAATTTCCTAACCTCTGAATTTTAATGAAAAGAGATTTAATACAGTAATTAGAATATTCAATTCACACAAAGAATTTAAGTAAAAAAATATCATTAGTTGTGTACTACTAACAATTAGTATAAAAAGTACTTTAAGGGCTCTTGTCAACATTTAAGTTTGAGAACTGTGGTGATATGCAAAAAAATCACATATACTGTTATATCATTAATCAAATATCAGAAACAAGTATAAAATAATGTATCAAGCACCTTAATGGTTAAATGAGACCGTCAGCCAGCATGTCCCTTGACGGTGTAATATGCTGCTGTGGGTTTGGAAACAGAATGAGTCTTCTGCCACACAACCAGAACCCAGAAAGCATGAGGAGACCGTGTAAGTAAGGAGTTCAAGTATCGCTTACTTATTATTAAGTATATTCTGCAACCTTTAAAAGGAGGCAAACTAGTGAGTTTTGTATTACACCTTTTTCTTGCTGTTTTTTCAATAACTTATCAGGGTCGAGATACATGGACTTCTTTTTTCCGCATCATGCTTTTATCGGTCAGCTCACAGCTGAAAAGACTGGTAAAAAGGTGGAGGAACATGTGGAACAGAAAAGGAAATCCCAAATTTGAATGATTCAGTTAATTACTGCTATGTAAACAGAAAAGGAAAATGACAAAAGAGGTCAACTTGCAGAATAAGTTGACAAACCCTAAGAAACTCCTAACTAGAATAAAACATTCTGATACATACATACTTTAAGAAATAAGCCAATCATAATTCAAGTGGCATTTACAACTAAAGGAGATAAGGATTGGTTAGAACGCTCCTAAATTTCATCCAGGTTACCCTACCCAGTCCCCCATTACCTGTTAGCGCCATAGTCACTAAGGGAAAGTTCTCTTTACAGAAGAATGTCAGCTACTAATTGTTGAATAAATGATAGTAATGAAATTATTGATTCAAGCAAGGATCATCAGTGGATGCTAAAACCATTAGGTAAAGTTGTTCCTCAAAAAGGGCATTCATCTGAGACTTAAGTATCAGCCCTCAGATCATCTGCTAATTGAAAAGTGGAAAGAGTATCTTTACAATGGAGGTATCTGAAGGTCATCACCTTAACCAAGTGACCACCTTTAGTGTTGCTAATAGTGGGACAATCTTTTATATATCCTTTGTTGTAACATGATGAAGAACAGAAGCCCACCTAAGAAGTGTTCTTGCCAATAGTATTTAATCTGAAAATAATCAAACTTTTGGACCTAATTTCTACTTTACAGAAAATATAGGAAATAGAAACAAATAAAATCTGACAAACACAGAATGCTGGATATTCTACAAGACAACTGGCCTGCTCTTTTCAAAAAAGATTGTCCAGAGGGTTAAAGTAGAGGAAAGGGTAGATGGTGGAGAAAGGAAGTGGGAAGACACAAGAGCCAAACACAATTAGTGATCTTTGATTCTTTTAAAACAGGCATCAATCAAAGTTACTGGGAACCATCAGGAAAATCGGAATATGGGCTAGACACTAGATTATATTAAAACCCCTCACCATTTTAGCTGAAGTACTTGAAATCAGTAATGAGAAGAATTCAGTCAGTGATATAAAGAATCACTTTTAAGGTATGTGAAACAATAAGATGAAACTTTCATTTTGGCAAATAGTAACTACCAATACTTATATAATGATTTACAGTTCACTAAGTGTTAACGTGACCTTAACATGCATATTATCTATGTATTAGCTACATGTCTGTGTATTTTCTAATGAAGTGTTATCTCCCTTGAGTTCATCATTTCTAAACTTATCTCTCAGCAACTGACCTGGATTCCTGCAACTTCCTGCTCTGCCACAAATGAAACTTATTTATATACAATGTAACAGTTTCCAAGTTCTGTTATGTGTATCTCTTCATCAAGTTGTTCTCCCAGAATAATTCTATTCAGTGTCTTAGTCATAAATCCAATGGAATTTTCACCTTTCTCTCATTCAGTAACTGTCACATTTAATATCATAGATTGCTTAATTCTTAGAATTCTTATCTCTATTGGTAATACACTCTCAGCAGTCTTCTTTGCCTATCTTGGCTAAGTTATACCCATTCTTGAAAACCAAGTTTAGATGTTATCTCCCTGGAAGCCTTCTCTCGCCAGTAGCTGTTTGCCACTACCATTCTATGTGATACGTAAACCCTGCGCTTGCCTCTCCATTATATTAAAAACATTGTACTGTAATTATTTCCTTGTTGTCCTCCTCCTAGATGTGAGCTTTTTGAGGGCTGAGTCTTTGTCCACTTGGCATTCAGAAGTACTTAGAAGACAAAAAATGGTCTTTGAGTTGATGAATGAATTTTACAAAGATAAAAGATGAGGAGAAAAGCTCAGAGAAGTTAATTTGCTCAAGTTTACACAGCTAGTAGGCTATGTTTTCTGATTCTAAATTCCTTTAAATGCCATTTTATAACCCATCTCCAACAATCTGTGAAGACTTTTGGCTTATAACAAAGAAATACCTGGGAATGTGGAAATGGACTGGGAAA